CAGGCTCGTGCCACTACACCCAGCTAATTTTTGTATTTTTAGTAGAGACGGCGTTTCACCATGTTGGCCAGGCTGGTCTTGAGCTCCTGGCCTCAAGTGATCTGCCTACCCTGGCCTCCCAAAGTGCTGGGATCACAGGCATGAGCCTCCGCACAGGCCAGAATCTGTATTTCAATAAGCCCCCTGTTGATTCTGATGTGGACCCTGTGCTACCTTGGAGGCTTATCTTGGCATTTCCAGATCCTGAGGCATCATTCCAGCCATCTCTGAGCCACTTCCTCACATTGCAGTCCCAGGTCTCCACTTGGTGTATTGCTGAATCTTTTAGCTATGAGTTCTACAGACCACGCGGTGAAAGATAACGTGTCCTCCTTCCACACTCTAGCTTCCGGCAGGTTTCCCAGTGGTTGGGGGATCACAGCAGGGAATATTTTAGGGAGAGGGTCCCTGAAGGTCAGTTGTGTGGCTCCTGGTAGGCCCCAAGTGCCCCAGGGCCCTTGTAAGAGAGACCCTTGGTTGGCTCTGTCACTCACGAGTGTGGGGTCCCCATAGTGGGAGCATGCCCGCTGACTTTGCCTCTGTGCCTTCTGCAGCGTAGACCTCACCACTGGCCAGCCATGAAGTTTCGCAGCCACCCCGACCATTCCACCTATGCAGAGGTGGAGCCCTCGGGCCATGAGAAGGAGGGCTTCATGGAGGCTGAGCAGTGCTGAGAACACCAGATCTCCCTTGTGAAGACTTTGAGACCACAGAAAAGACAGTTAAAGCAAAGAAGAGAAGTGACTTTTCCTGGCCTTTCCCAGCATGCCCTGGGCTGAGATGAGATGGTGGTTTATGGCTCCAGAGCTGCTGCTCGCTTCGTCAGCAAGCCCCGGATGTTGAAGAGGGGGCCAAAAAACAACCAGATGGATTTTTTATAGGAACAATAACCTAATCTCATCCTGTTTTGATGCAAGGGTTCTCTTCTGGATATTGTAACCATGAAACAGCAGAAGAACTAACATAACTAACTCCATTTTTGTTTAAGGGGCCTTTACCTATTCCTGCACCTAGGCTAGGATAACTTTAGAGCACTGAGATAAAACGCAAAAACAGCAACCATGCCATTTGCAAAACTAACTCTGGGATTAAAGGGGAAGAATGTAAACAGCTAACTATTTTTGTTAAAGATTTATAGGAACGAGGAGGAGGTTTGGTTGTTGTCACATGAGAGACTGTTAGCCAACGACAAGGAAGTTCCGCAAACCTCTCCTGGACCCTTGCTGGTGTCCAGATGTCTGCGGTTGTCAGCCCCTTCCTTTCCCCCTGACCTAAACAGAAAAGACAAGGCAAAACCCACATAATTTTAAGACAGTTCTTTAGGACATTAGTCCACCATCTTCTTGGTTTGCTGGCTCTCTGAAATAAAATACCTTTCCTTGCTCCAACTCCTTGTCTCTCAACGTATTGGCTGTCACGCAGCAAGCAGAATGAATTTGGACTCAGTTACAGGCTGTCAATGGTCTGCTCTGTAGCAGTCTCAGAGCCTCCCGACCTGGAGACGGCCGGACAGCCAGATCCCCTGCTCCTGGCCACCTAAAGCCCCTGCATATGACACAGGTTAACTAAAGTCAAGACTGGGGCTGCTGCATTCCAGGGTCCCTAGACTCAAGCTGGTCCTCAGCCAGGTGTGGTGGCTCACACCTGTAATCCCAGCACTTTGGGAGGCTGAGGCAGGCGGATCACCTGAGTTAGGAGTTTGAGACCAGCCTGGCCAACACAATGAAACTGTCTCTACTAAAAATACAAAAAATTAGCTGGGTGTAGTGGCACTTGCCTGTATCCCAGCTACTCAGGAAGCTGAGACACAAGAATCACTTGAACCTGGGAGGCAGAGGTTGCAGTAAGCTCAGATAGCGCCACTGCTTTCCAGCCTGGGTGACAGAGCGAGACTCTGTCTCAAAAAAAAAAAGCTGATCCTCATGGCTATAGAGTTTAAAGAAGGTGTTCTCTCCATCTGTTAAACACAGTACGCGGCTCTCAGCCCTTGGGGCATGTTATCATGGGAAGGAAGTAAAATAAGAGGAGAGAAAAGAACTCAAGGGGGAACTGCATTTTTAGGCTTTGCTCTCTTACCTTGCCCTTTCTGCTCAGAACCAATAACTTCTGCATCAAAACATGTTACAGCCTGCATCAAGGGCTTTACCCCAACCTGCGGGCCAGCTTTCTCTGAGCGAGCTTGCTATGCGCAGCCACATTTACCATGTGGGGCTCCCTATTCTGATGGCCTGTTTGGTGCCGAGTTTATTCACTGGCCTGTTCTGGTGTCAGTGCCTGTACATACCTCCAAAGGCAGGACTTGCCTGATAAATATTTTTCCTCCTCTGAACTGGATTTTATAGGCATTAAAGACAAGTCGGGTGGCTCAAGGGCTCCTTGAGACATACCTAGCAGGGAACTGCAGGTGGATTCTGTTGAGCGGCAAAGCGCCTGAGTGGTTGGGACACAGGCAGCTGGCATGGAAGGGATGTTTTTTTGAGAAAGGGACTCACTGTGTCGCCCAGGGCAAGGATGCCCAAATACACCAGGTTGGGGAGGCACCTACCAACCACTTGCTTTCCCTGGAGCCCGCATGTGTCTGTGGGGCGGGGAGGCCTAGGGGTCTACGGCTGCCTGGGATGGGTGTGCACAGTGTGTGAAGTACCTACCACCTTGCCTTGCTAGACTGTCAGTCGGTCGCAGGGCTGGCCACAAGACCCATGTCTCCATCTGGTCACACTCCATAGCTACCCAGTTAACCTGCTCTAAACTTTGGAGAACTCCAGGATCTGTCCAAGAAACGCTTATCTGGCCAAGCATGATGGCTCGTGCCTGTACTCTCAGCACTTTGGGAGGCCAAGGTGGGAGGGTTGCTTGAGCCCAGGGGTTTGAGACCAGCTTGGGCAACAATAACAACAAAAATGCCAGGTGTGGTGGGATGCACCTGTAGTCCCAGCTACTAGGGAGGCTGAGGCAGAAGGATCACTTGAGCCTGGGAGGTTGGGCTGCAGTGGGTCATAATCATCATAGTCATGCCACTGTACTCCAGCCTGGGCGACAGAGTGAGACCCTGTCTCCAAAAAAAAAAAAAAAAAAGAACAGAAAAAGATAATGCTTACATTGTCAGACAATCATCATTAACTCTATGAGATGCTTGGTTCTATTTTTTGGGAGACTTGGTCTAAGTGTTTTGGCTTGAGAAATCTGTAGACCTCTCTTGGTGACACATCTCTAGTACTGTTTGTCATAAACAAACAGGCCGTCTGCCGCCAAATACCTCCACTCTCCATGCCACTGACATCCCATGGGTCAGCCAGGCTTGCTTTGACTGAGGGCGAGGCATCTGGAACTTTCTCTACCTGCAGGGGCTAGCAGCAGAGGCCTCTCTGCATCACCACCCCTTCCTCCACTCCTGACATTCTTTCCCTTCAGGGATCCAAAATGGTTGGCCGAGCTCCCAGTAGGGAAACATGTGCTAGAGTTAGGGAGTGGGACAAGTGGTGCCGTCCATGGAATCAGGCCACAACAGGAACTGCCCCACTGGCCATTTGAGATACACACAGGTGGTAGATGCTTTGTTGGTGGGCTGTGCTTCCCTCATCCAGAGAGCTCTGTTACAGCCCACTGTGTCCTTCAGAAGCTTGAAAGGAACCCAAATCTTTGCTGTGCTGTCCTTTTTCTTCCTCTAATTCAGACCCTCCTTCCACCAGCACCCCTCTACCTCCACCCTCAGCTTTTCCTTGCCTGGTTTATGAAGCAGAGCTGAGGCCCCACGTTTCCAACTCTTGATTGTCACTCGCATCCTCACAAAGGATAAACCACGGAGCAACTGGAAAACCATCAGCCAAGTGTTCGGATGAGTCTGGTTATTGGTCCACCTCCGACCAGATTCCCTTACACTTAACTCACTTCTTTCTTTGGCAATGACCCTCGTGATATGTATAAAAGGGTATGACTAAGAAGGGGCTGTGATCTAACATTTATTTGCTGCTATTTTTTACTTTGACTGGGGTGAGCTCTAGATTTTAATTCCAAATGTTCTTCAGAAGCAGCCCCAGCTCATCACTGGGAAAGAACTGCCCCTGCAAACCAGCTAAATTTGAGAGTTTAAATTCCCTGCCCCCAAAACTTCTCACAGAGCTGGGGAGTTGGTGGCAACTTTCCAAGTCAAGGTCTTGCTTAGAAAGTCCTTCACTGCATGACCAGGTGCAGTGGCTCACGCCTGTAGTCCCAGGTACTTGGGAGCCTGAGGCAGGAGGATCGCTTGAGCTCAGGAGTTCAAGGCTGCACAGAGCCATGATCATCCCACTGCATTTGTTTAAAAATAAATTTTTAAAATTTGTGTGTTTCATCAGGGGTCTCCTGTATAGCGTATCTGTGTATGTTTGTGTGTGGGTGTTTGTATACAGCCTTGTCCAATGTTTTTAGCAATAATATACACACACACAGGTATTTTGTTGCTAAAGAGATTGGACAAGGTTGTAGCTGTGCTCAGGCTTCAGCTTGGTTTGTTAAATTAAGAGAGAGATAAACAATGACAAGAGCTGCTGGCCAACCACACTATTCAAAAAGCAAAGTGTCCACCACTAAAGCTGACCATTCATCTGGTTGCAGGCAAGGCTAAGGCTCTCTCTCCTCTAGTTCCTGGAATAGACTCACAGGTTGGCATGAAGCACTGATCAGGGGCTGCACTCAGACTCCCTGGCCATGCGAACCTACACCAGGAAAGTCAGTGTCACAGATACGATGCGGCCAATCTCTGTCTCCAAAAACCTACCTGAATTTAGTGATACAATTAGAAAGATCTGGAGACTGAGGGCACCCAGCCTTTTAAAACACAATGTATTCACGTGTTTAGTGTAAACTGTCTGCATGGATTCTCGGTGTTAATAATAAAAGGAAGCACTCTTTTACAACTCCTGCTGTGTGCCAAATAAAGTGCAAAGGATTTGGGGTGGCATTCTGAAGACCACCACACATACCTTGGTTCTGATGGCTGCTGGACTCCAACTTCTTCACTGAGACATGATCTTGGGAACAGCCTCCAGCTATCTGCTCATCAGAGGTGCTTTCTTTAACCTCCTGCACCACCTCCAAGAGAAACAGCCTAAAAAGAAACGCCAGCTGTTTACTTATATTGGGCCTGTAAATCCCTGGAAGTAAACCCTGTGCATTTTTATCTACTGTCTGAGGACACACAATAAATCTGAGAAAGTCGATGCTGTCACATTTCTGGATGCTTTGCATTTGAACAACTTTAGCCACCTCATTGTGTTTTTATTACTTTGTAGTTTTACTCACAAAACATGGTTTAGCGAACCAAAACAAAGAGAGGAGAAATGTGAACACCTCACAGCCAAAATCAATGATGCTAAAATTCAGGCTCCAAACAAGCCAATTTATAAATAAACAGGCTGTGTCTGTCAAATCAAGAGGAATGTGTTAAGAGAAGACAATGTAAACTGATGGAGAAGGTGCTGAGCTGGACAGGGAGTGGGAAGGTGGGAGCTTGGCCTCAGCCCTGCCCCTGAGTAGCTGGGTGATGTGGGCCAAGTCACTGGACTTCTCTGGGATGGCTTCCACCTCTGTGAAATAGGAGGTACTAGACTAATTGGTCTAAGGTGGGACCTAAGCAATCAGCTGCCTGGTTCTTTCTCAGGTCACACAGCAACTTAGACCAAAGCATGTCTTTCTCTTTCATTATCCTGATAGGGGGACCAAATTGTTCTATCCGGGACTCCCCTGGTTCTAACACACAAAGTCCTGCATCCCAGGAAGCTCCTCAATCCTGGGCACACTGGAATGTTGTAGAACCAAACCGGGTGTTCTCACCTGGTGCAATAACACCAGATGTCCACACTGAAACTTTGCAACAATAAAGGAAGGCATTTGTTTGCAGGACTCCAAGCAAGGAGAATTGGGTGGCTTATGCTTAAGATATGAACTCTTGATGGCTTGTAAGGAATTTTTCTTTTCTTTCTTTTTTTTTTTTAAGAGAGTCTCACTTACTCTGTTGCCCAGGCTGGAGTGCAGTGGTACGATCTCAGCTCACTGCAACTTCTGCCTCCTGGGTTCAAGCAATTCTCCAGCCTCAACTTCCTGAGTAGCTGGGACTACAGGCATGTACCACCACGTCCAGCTAATTTTTGTATTTTTAGTAGAGACAGCTATCACTATGTTGACCAGGCTGGTCTCAAACTCCTGGCCTCAAGTGATCTGCCCACCTTGGCCTCCCGAAGTGCTAGGAGTATAGGCATGAGCCGCTGTGCCCAGCAGCAGGTAAAGATTTTAAAAGGCAGGGGTAAATTTCAGGAAAGCAGACATTACAGGTAAAATCATAAATCAATACATGGAAGCTATATGTTGGTTTAACCTAAAAAGGTCCTCTCAAAGCAGGACCCACAAGTCATAAGGTGGGTTCAAAGATTTTCTGATTTGCAATTGGTTCAGGAGGCAAAGCTTTGTCTAGACATTTGGGATCAGCAGAAAAGAATGTTAGCTCTGGCTCATGGGCATGGCCTCCTCCAGGTCCTTCAGGAAGACATTTAGAACAAATTATAGTCAGAGTCAGTCCTCAGCACCTGCTTACCTGAGGTCTACATGCCAGCGGATCCCTTTGGAGAGGTCTGGGCTTCTGAAAAACAGCTCAGGGACATTAAACGCCTGTGTGCCAGGCACCATTAAGTGACTTGCACACGGTCACACAGCTAGTAAGTTAAGATGTTATCTTTAGTTTCTAGAGGGGAACCAAACATCTCCTGACTCTAACTTCCTTAGCTGTTGTTTTGGACTACTATTACCTTCCTGCTTATCAAGCTGCTTATTTGCTTCTCAGGGCTAGCTAGGATTTCCCTGACAGAACTCAAGATTTTCCTTTATTCCCATGTGTGGGTGTCCACAGCTCCCTCTCCATGTTTGGTCACTCTACCCTTGGCACAGCCCTCCACCCCATTGGCTGAATAAATAATGATTTCAAGCACCTGGAAAGCACTTTAGACTCTAGAACCTTGCTAGTTAAAGTTTGGTCCAGGGCCAGGCACAGTGGCACATGCCCTGTGGTCCGAACTACTCGGGAGGCTTGGGCCCAGGAGTTCGAAGCTTCAGTGAGCCATGATCACACTACTGCCCTCTAGCCTGGGGGACAGGGCAAGACCCTGCTCTAAAAAAAATGTAAATCTGTATAATGAAGTGTGGTCCAGGCCAGGTACAGTGGCTCATACCTGTAATCCTGCTCTCTGGGAGGCCAAGACGGGAGGATGGCTTGAGGCCAGGAGTTCGAAACCAGCATGAGCAACATAGCGAGACCTTATCTCTACAAAAAATAAATAAATAAATAAATAAAATAATAAAGTGTGGTCCAGTCAGGCAGCATTAGCATTCCCTGGGGTTAGCTGGAAATGCGGCACTCAGGCCCCAGACCTACTGAGTCAGAATCTGTATTTGAGCAGCTCCCCGGGTGATTCCTGTGAAGTGCATGAAAGTTTGAGATGCACCATTTAGAAAGCAATTCTACGTACATGATCGCAGCCTGTTGGAGAAGCATCATTTTTCCATTTCCCAGATGAGGAAAATGAGGCTCAGGGAGGTGGCTTACCTATTTATTCACTTGATCCACACTCATTAAACGCCTGTGTGCCAGGCACCATTAAGTGACTTGCACAAGGTCACACAGCTAGTAAGCAGAGAAAATCCCCAAGCACAGGTTTTTGGATTCCCATCTGAGGTTGTTGTCTGTGTACCTCAGGGTGTTACCAGAACCACGTGGCCACAGTTTAATATAGAAACAGATTATGAATCATGACAGACAGGCTGCTCCAGGCCTGTAGAGATCCTCAAAGAGATGCCTAGGGATGACTTCAGATCCTCGTTCTTGGCTCACAAAACTGTGAGCTTACCATCTATTTATCTGCACAGTCCCAGGAGCTTGAGAATGTCCTAGTTGTTGCTGCCTCCTTCTCATCCCAATGCCCACACTAGCGACCCTCCCACATGAATAATTAGAAGCACTCCTCACAAGCCTTACAGAGCACCAGGCGATGCCTCCATCTGATTTATCTTTTTGGATGGAGGACAATGGATTACTTCCTTCGCCAAGATGGGGCCGGAGGTGCAGCGAGGAAGGAAGGGGTGTAAAATCTTTACGTGAACTGTGAAATCCAAAGAGAAATTTTGTGGGGGATGATTTTTCTGATGTTCATAAAACATTTTTACATTTGGTCCCTAGAGATAGCTAAATTATGCCTACAGTTTTCCACAAAGCTAAAAGCACTGAAAAAAAAAATCACCTGAATATGGGCCAATAAAATTTCATCATATATTCCCAGAGTCTTGAGTTAGAACCTTCCCTTCCAGCTTGCCTTTCCCTTCTTCGGTCTTTCCCCCTCAAAGTTTGTGTGGTTTTGTTTCTTTGTGTTTTGAGACAGGGTCTTGTTCTGTTGCCCAGACTGGAGTGCAGTGGCATGATCTCAGCTCACTATAACCTCCACCTCCCGGCTTCAAGCGATTCTCCTGCCTCACCATCCCGAGTAGCTGGGATTATAGACATGTACCACCACGCCCGGCTAATTTTGTATTTTTAGTAGAGATGGGGTTTCTTCATATTGGTCAGGCTGGTCTCAAACTCCCGACCTCAGGTGATCCACCCTCCTCGGCCTCTCAAAGTGTTGGGATTACAGGCGTGAGCCACTGCACCTGGTCAATTTTTGTATTTGTAGTAAAGATGGGGTTTCTCCATGTTGGCCAGGCTGGTCTTGAACTCCTGGCCTCAAGTGATACACCCACCTCAGCCTCCCAAAGTGCTGGTTTTACAAGCATGAACCATTGTATCCGGCCTTAGATCCCGTTTTTAATTAACAGATGAAGATGCTGCTCTCTTAAGGAACATTAAGTAATTCCAAGAGCACCTCCTGAAGGCCAAAAGGGCAGCCTCCTGCAGGGCTTACCTTCCCCTTCTCAGAGCCTCCCTTTTCTCTCTCTCTTTTTTCTTTTTTTTTTAGAGACAGGGTCTCAGTCTGTTTTCCAGGATTCAGTTCAGTGATGCAATCATGGCTCACTGCAGCCTTGAACTCCTGGGCTCAAGTGATCCTCCCATCCCAGCCTTCCAAGTAGCTGGGACTACAGGTGGGAACCACCATGCCTGGCTAATTATTTTATTTTTTGTAGAGATGGGGTCTTGTTTTTCTTCCCAGGCTGATCTTGAACTCCTGGGCTCAAGCAATCCTCCCATCTCAGCCTCCCAAGTGTTGGGATTACAGGTGTGATCCACCACGCTCGCTCGGCTGCAGCCTCCCCTCTCTGCAGCTGCTGACACCCATCTCTGTTCCCTGGGGCTCTTCTCCCCCAGGCCCATTACAGGCTGAGCAGAATTCTCCCAGCTGTGCTCACTCTTCCCTCTGCCTCTGTAGACAAGCACTTAGCCCTCTTTCACCGTGAAGGAGGAGCCACGACTAACAAAATTAGGAAGAGGTAAACATTACTTACAATCAAAGGTCCTGGTCTACTGACTTTTGGCCTCTGGTATGGTACTGCTGGTGGTGCTGCTGGCAGCTCACATTTACTAGGTGCTTCCTATGTTCCAGGTACATTTTAGGAGATGTGCTTGTATTGTCATCTATGGGGTGGGTGCTATTGCTACCTCTACCCTACACAGGAGGCCACTGGCACAGCACAATAGGGAACTTATTTTTTGTATTTTACTAGAGATAGAGTTTTGCCATATTGCCAAGGCTGGTCTCGAACTCCTGTCCTCAAGTGATCCGTCCAACTCAGTCTCCCAAAGTGCTGGGATTACAGGCATGAGACACCGTGCCCAGCCTGATCTTTAATTTTTTTCTGTAGAGATGGGGTCTCACTGTGTTGCCCAAGCTGAGATTTCTTAAAAAGGGACAGCACAAAATAACACGGGGTTTAGCATCAGTAGGTTTGAGTCCAACCTCAAGCTTCCATAACTTTTGTCAGGAACCTTAAGCAAGTCACTTAACCATCCTGAGTTTGAGTTTCTTAATCTAAAAAAACCAGAGAACTGAAAGATTAGTGTGGCAATGCATCTGAACATATTCTATAAACCAGAATGCTGGACAAATGCTAATCTATTATTGAATTCAGCACTTCATTTCAGCGGAGCTGGGAATTCCATATTTGGAGCCACCTTGACTGGAAATGTCTGAAAAAGCTGCTTCCGGTTGCATGCCTTTTGGGCTCTGTGGGCAGCCATCGCTGAATAAAACTTAACGACGGCATAGAAACCAGGATGGGCCGCTGCAGCATTTGCAAAGACCAGGACTGAATACAGAAGGTCAAACTGGGAAAATGCTGTGAACAGAGAAAGCCGTGGGGGTGGTCCCACGCCAAGTAAGCGTATGAAATCTCAAGCCCAGAAAACAAAACTGCCCATGCCTTCCTATTCCCCAAACCCTTCTTCGAGAAGGATGCAATTCAAAACACTTCCCACTTAACCAACAAGTTTTGTCCTTAAGATCCTAAACTTTAAGAAGCCCTGGAAGGTAAAACGTGTTGACTGTGGAGAGATACCTCTCCGGGACTCTAAAAATCTGTTGGGGGTAGCTGTCTGCTGGTCCCCTCTAGAATTAAGAGTCCTTCAGCGGGCCGGGCGCGGTGGCTCACGCCTGTAATCCCAGCACTTTGGGAAGCCGAGGCGGGCGGATCATCTGAGGCCAGGAGTTCGAGACCACCCTGGCCAACAAGGTGAAACCCCACCTCTACTAAAATACAAAATTAGCCGGGTGTGGTGGCGGGCGCCTGTAATCCCAGCTACTCCGGAGGCCGAGGCAGGAGAATTGCTTGAACCCTGGAGGCGGATGCTGCGGTGGGCAGAGATCACGCCACTGCACCACAGCCTGGGCAACAGAGCAACAGTGTGTCTCAAAAAACAAAACAAAACAGAGTCCTTCAGCAGAGACTGAGGCAGGTGAAGTGCTGAAGCAGGACTCTGGAATTCCCAGTTAGCGAGTGGGCGGCTTTCTCCATCCCTCCCTCCACCGTGGCCCCGGCTCACATGCAAAGCCTCAGCCGTGGGTCCAGAGCTCAGTTCCCACACTAGCAAGGTTTTGTCACTCTTGGTGGGAACCATTCTCCCTTCACCCAGCTTGCGCGGCTAAGGCTCACGCAGCACTGCGCCTGCGCAAGACACGGCCGCGCCCTTTTTTTTTTTTTTTTTTTTTTAAAACAAGAGGCGCATGCGAGGGGCGGGGCGGCGCCCGGATCGCTCCCTCGCCCCTCCTACCCGGGGCCGGCTTCTGAGCCTGTTCCCCTCCTCCAGCCGCACCGCCACGACCCTGAGTTTAGTGCTTCCAATCAAGTGCATGTTTAGGGTAGAGTCCCAAAATGGGCTGACAGCATGAAAGGGTAGGGACACGTTTATAGCAGCCAGTTTCATCTTCACTCCTGATGGAGATTAGGGTACTAAGTATTATTAGCCCTACCTACTGAGCTTGTGGGAAATAACCATGAACGATGCAACCTTTTAAGATTTTTTTTTTTTTTTTTGGAGTTTAACATATTCAAATAAAAGTATGACTCACTAAGCTATTAACAGTCTAGCATGAAATCCTTAAAAAGAATTTCCTGGTTGTCCTACATGGTTCTAGTGAATTGTGTACGTGTATTTGTGGGGGTCAGATGATGTGGAAGATCGGAGATCTGAGTGAGAAGTAGAGATCAATTTTGGAAAAAAGTAAAAATCAAAGAATAGGTCCAACTTGGGGCTGAGGGTGTCTGAGAGGGGTGGGTGTCGTAATCAGCTATGTGGTGGAGCAGTGTAATCACCTGGTGGGTTCACTGTACCCACTCCCCAGAAAAGCCGATTTACTGAGACAGCATTATTGAAATAGACAGAGTTTTAATAAGTACAGAACCAGCGAAATAGAAGACTGGAGTTTTATTATTACTCAAATCAGCCTCCCTGAAAATTTGGAAGCTAGGGTTTTTAAGGATAGTTTGGCAGGCAGGGGGCTAGGGAGTAGGGAATGCTGATTGGTTGGGTCAAGGATGAAATCATAGGGTGTCAGAGCTTGTGTTCTTGTGCTGGGTGAATTCCTGGTTGGGGGCCACAAGACCAGATGAGCCAGTTTGCCGATCTGAGTGGTGCCAGCTTGTCCATCAGAATACAGGGTCTGAAAAATACCTAGAATGGCAATCTTCGGTTTTACAACAGTAATGTTGAAAGGAGTTAGTTAGCTCGCCTTAGGTAGATAGCAAGGGAAGGGTCCCCAGAGAGCCCCCGGCCCACAGGTCAGTGCCTCATCTCCACATAACATAAAAAAGCAGCCTAGGAAAACATTTGAGCTGCAGGCACCAATAAGGGAACAAGCACAGCAAGTTGTACCTGGAGACATGCCCATGGCTGTACAGATAGCAAAACCTCAGGCCCATTTGGATAAAAACTTCAACAAACCTCTATTTCACTCACATAAAGGAACAAGGCCTGGCATAGAAATGTCTTTGTCCTTTGTATAGTCAGCAAGCTCCCAGGACAAACTTTCTTCTCCTTTTGTGAGTGTGGGTACAGTGGGCTCCCGTGGGTTCCAGTGGACACTTTACTTTCCTTTTTGGGCTGTAAGTTTGGCCTCTAAGAAGTATCACTTCAGCCCTTGATAGGTCTGGGGCCAAGCTTTCACTTCAGCTCCTGATAGGTCCTGGGTCAAGCTAAGCAGCATCATTTCAGCTCCTGATTGGTGCTGGGGCAACTAAGCACATTCCTTCCCCTTCCCAGTCTGTAAAAACCCTGGACACCAGCCTCACAGGGGCACCCGTTCGGGGCCCCCCTCTCTGCTGACAGAGAGTTTTCTTCTTTTGCTTATTAAACTTTCACTCTAATCTCAACTTCTCAACTTTGTGTCTGCTCTTCTTAATTGTCTTGGAGGTAGGACAAAGAACTCCGGGGCATGTTATCTCAGACAAGGAGCAACTGTTAAATCTTGGTGCATTGCTGAGACTACAACAATGCTATCTTTTTTTTTTTTTTTTTTTGAGAGAGTCTCACTCTGTTGCCCAGGCTGGAGTGCAGTGGCGCAATCTTGGCTCACTGCAACCTCTGCCTCCTGGGTTCAAGCGATTCTCCCCGCTCAGCCTCCTGAGTAGGGGGGGTAACAAGTGCCTGCCATCACACCCAGCTAATTTTTCTATTTTTAGTAGAGACAGGGTTTTACCATGTTGGCCAGGCTGGTCTTGAACTCCTGACCTTAAGTGATCCACCCACCTCCCAAAGTGCTGGGATTATAGGCATAAGCCACTGTGCCCAGCCTACAACAATGTTATCTATAGGAGCAACTGGTTAGAAATCTTGTGGCCTCTGTACATAATTCCTGAGCTATAGTATCTAATCTTGTGGCTAATTTGTTAGTCTTACAAAGACTATAAAGTCTTACAAAGGAGGTCTGATTCCCAAGCAAGGAGGTGATTTGTTTTAGGAAGGGACTGTCATCTTTGTTTCAAAGTTAAACAGTAAACTAAATTCCTCCCATAGTTAGCTTGGCCTGTGCCCAGGAATGAGCAAGGGCAGCTTGGAGGTTAGAAGCAAGATGGAGTCAGTTAGGTCAGAATTGTCATAATTTTTGTAAAGGCAGTTTCAGTAGCACAAGAGGGAAAGTGGGTCCTACTGCTCTTTACTTTAATCCTAGAATGTCAGAGCCTAGGGGTAGGGGGGAGGGATGGCATTGGGAGTTATACCTGATGTAAATGATGAGTCGATGGGTGCTGACGAGTTGATGGGTGCAGCACACCAACATGGCACATGTATACATATGTAACAAACCTGCACATTGTGCACATGTACCCTAGAACTTAAAGTATAATAAAATTAAAAAAAAAAAAAAAAAAAAAAGAACGTCAGAGCCAGATGAGACCCAGCAGGACAAGTCTCTTGTGGTTTCTAAATAATTGTCTTCAGACCCATGCCGTGATAAAGTTTCCACCCCTACTCTACAAAATGAGGACAATGTGGAAAATACAATCAGGTTTTTAATAATTTCATAAAATAGATTCCACTCCATTCTTCTACAAGTATGACCTCCCTTTATGAAAAGATGCTGATAAATAGAGGATAGTTGTTTCAATGCTATTACTTGGATATCATAATTAAAAATTAAAAATATCAGGTTTAATTTTTTTTACATTTTATGACCTGTGAAAAACAAAAGTCTGGGAACCACTGAATAGTCAAATCTCTCCTTTTATAGTAGAAGCAGTTAAGACTCAGAGGTAGAGAAATGAGTGGTCCAAGATAAAACCCCAGTTTGGTGAGACATTACTGATGGTGGCTCTATGCTGGACATTCCTTCAACTGTCACTTTTCTGCCTTTGCCTTTTCTTTAAACATGTTCTACTCCACATCAGCACCCCCCAAGCAAACCAGATCCTGTTCAGAGAAGTTTTTTAAATCATCTAGATCCTAGCCTATTCTCCCAAATTACCCCCAAATCATTGGCATCTGCCACTATTTCTCCATCCCATCACTACTTTCTCCACCCCAATACCATACCCTTAGCCCCACCCATTGCCTACTTTTGAGCTTTCTGTTTTACTTCAAAAATTATTATTCAGAAGAATTTTTGGACGCCGATATTGTTTCAAAGCAATAATTATGGATTTTATTATACATTTAATAATCTCTTATAATGTTTGTGGATATCTCTGCTTCTCCACCTAGATTATGAACACCTCAAGAAAAATAGTTCTGTTTTATCTTCCTTCTCGTACCTAGTACACTCCTACTGTTTTATGTACTCAAATATATGTAGAATTAATAATGAATAAATTGACAGATTCTTTGCAGAGTGAATGCTTTAATATTTCAAAACATATGGAGATTTGTTTATTGTGGTCCTCTTGGTTTGCAAATGACAGACAGGAACCAGGGGACTGGGTCCAGATGGGAGCAAGGAGGAAGCCAAGAAAACCATTTATTCCTGGGGCTCTGGTCAGTTTTACTTGTAAATGGAAAGGGAAGAAAATAACATGAAGTGGAAGCAATAGGAAGAAGAAATGAAGAATCCCTGAGTGAGAACAGGAGTCTTGGACTGACTCCATTGTGCCCACGCACCCTGTTTCATCCTAGGCAGCATCCTGTCAGCTAGTAGGAGAGGGGCCGGCATGAAGAGTGCAATCTCCTGTCTACCCTGCGAAGAAAAAAGACATGGCTCTTGCCTCACACTCAGTAACTTCTCCACACACATGACATAGTTCTTGCAGAGTCTCCCATGTAGAGCAATGCCCAGAATCCCCTTCACTGCTAGCCCTCTGGCCTTTCCTCCACTGGCCTTCACGTAGAACAATAATCTCCAATCTCATCCAGCTCACTGCAAATGCTGTTAATTCATTCCTTTTTAAGGCTGTGTAGTATTCCATCATATTCCATCATATATATATATACACCAGTTTCTTTATCCACTTGTTGATTGATGGGCATTTGGGTTGGTTCCATGATTTTGCAATTGTGAATTGTGCTGCTATAAACATGTGTGTTCAAGTATCTTTTTCAAATAATGACTTCTTTTCCTCCGGGTAGATACCCAGTAGTGGGATTGCTGGATCAAATGGTAATTCTACTTTTAGTTCTTTAAGGAATCTCCACACTGTTTTCCTTAGCGGCTGTACTAGTTTACATTCCCATCAGCAGTGTAGAAATGTTCCCTGATCACTGCACCACGCCAACATCTGTTTTTCGATTTTTTAAAAAAATTATGGCCATTCTTACAGGAGCAAGGTGGTATCACACTGTGGCTTTGATTTGCATTTCGCTGATCGTTAGTGATGTTGAGCATTTTTTCATATGTTTGTTGACCATTTGTCTATCTTCTTTTGAGAATTGTCTATTCATGTCCTTAGTACACTTTTTGATGGGAATTTTTTTTTTTCTTACTGCTTTGAGTTCATTGTAGATTCTGGATATTAGTCCTTTGTCAGATGTGTAGATTGTGAAGACTGAAAATCTGGGGCTATTTCTGTCACTGAGGGAAGGTATGTCCTTCCCCTAAACTAAGTGTATGCTGCTGAGGAGGCAGAGGCCTGAGTTCTTCCATCTACTGCCTTCAGGTGTCAGGCGGCTTCCGCTCGGACAAGATGGCTACCCTGGTGGACTTGTTTCCTCTCTGGTCTCTTGTTCTGTCTCACTCCACAGTGGCCTGAGCTTGGGGCCATTCTTTTGCTTTTCTCATCCTCCTACCCCCAGAGCTGACAGATTTAGCAAATAAAATTTACAAGATCCCCTGGTAAGTTAGAATTTCAGGCAAACAACGGACTACCCCAC